TGGACTTGGGTGTGCTAGAAAATAACCTGCTGGTCTTGGGCCTGTGGTCTGCCTAGAAAACCTGTGTCAGGAGTAAAGGGCTTTGCACTGTCCAGTCAACTCAGTGGCTGTCAGTCGAGAGTCTGTTTCGGATGCCAAGGAGAGGTCCCTGGCTGGAACAAATTTGTACTCAGCATGCCTTCTGGGTCCCCTTGCAGTCAAGGGTGTACACAGGTGAGCCAGCTGCCATGGGCTAGCACACAACCTTCGATCTTAAAGTAGCACAGAGGCCACTGTCCCACGGGGCCAATTGGCTTGATCTCATTAGAACCATGACCCGCCAAACAGACCTGTAATCCCTTGGCTGTGAGTCCCCAAAGGGTCCACAGAGCGTTGCCAGGCCCAGAAGTGTTGCTTTCCCATCTCTAGGACGGACCCTCATGTTTTCTAGCAACTTGGGCCAATAGTACTGAGCCTTGTCGGTACCCACACCCCTCTCCACCACTTCACAACCATCAGGACTCAAAGGCAGATTCTCTGAAATGAGTCGTTCTTTTTCAGTGTGAATCAGGTGGAACTTGGAGATGATAGAGTTAATGGTGACTGAGGGGTCCGAAGAGAGGGGTCGCTAGGAGAGTGCCCTAGGAGGGAGCAAGGCTGCAGGTTGGGGTCCTCGCCAGCACCTGTTTGCACTCACATGACCCGCGTCCTCTGCCTAGGCTAATGCGCTCTCAGCGGGAGCTGCTGGGTTTCTCTCCACCCCTCACAGCTGCCTCAGAGCACCCACGTTCTGGCTCCAATCACAGTGACTTCACCTGTCTTGACTTAACCTGTCTTTTATATGTTTTCAAAATTTGTTAGCGATTTAATGCGTGTACATCCTTTGCAAAAAGCAAAATAATATTAGAAGAATTCTCATAAAAAATAATGTGGGCCATCAGGACCCCACCTGGGACCAGCAGGTGGTGTGGTGGTTAACCTCATGGTTCGAGTCCCAGACCTGGTGGCTTGAAAGACACACTGAGAGTGTGTGTGCGTGCATGCCCAAAATCGTGAGAGGAGAATGGAGGAGATTGCAGCGTGGCCATCCCCCCCACCCCCAAGAGGGTGATTTCTCGCTTTCCCTCCCTCCGTTGCTCTCCTGCAAACACACGTGCCCTTGGGCAACAATCAGAAACCAAGCAGACAAACACAGCTGCTGCTCCACGCCTGCCCCCGCCACCCTCAGATCTGCGAATACTTTCTCCTGGGTACTAATTGCAATGTAGCTAAATTAAATTCTTATCTCAGTGTTTTTCAAATAGAGACTGTCACTGATTTCCATCCCACCTCACCCCCTCTCCCTCTGATTCTGTTCTCTCCGGCAGAAAGTTACCCAGTTTGGGGGGATAGTGTCTTCCCTACTGTAAGTGTGCAAATGTTGCTCACCGACTCCACCTCCTTTTCTGAATAGCCTGTCATTTCTCCTGCCAGCAACATGGCCTCTTGTTCCCCATTCACCTCGATTTCCATTACTGATTGCTGGGTTCTCTCCATGTTCCACCAGGCCAAACACCTAGCGGTACTGCCCCATTCTTGCTTAGGCACAAGGCTTCCCTGGGACTCCCTCCCTGGCATTCTGCTGGACCTCGCTGTCTGCTGGCGCGTCGTCCTCCTGGTTCACTCCTCATGTGGAGCAGCGTGTTTCATGGTAGCTTGGGAGACGTTGTGGAGGACCACAAAATAGAAAATAGCTTTATTCTGCCTTCGCATCGTATTGGCCATTGGCTGGTTATAGGATTCTGTCTGGGAAACACTTTCTTCAAAGCGCTAAGGCATCGTGATGGTCTTGCCTCCGTTTTCTTTGTCAAACTATTTAGCGTTGTGATTTCCTGTCCCTCGCCCCATCTTGTTCTTTCTCTCAGGAGCTGTTGGCTCTCAGCCCATCCCTGCACTCATGGGTGTGTGACTTGAGACTCTGCCCACTCGGTTTGGTTGGTTCTGGGTGGGCCCTTGTGTTATGAAACTCAAGCCCTTCAGCTCTAAGAAAAAGTCTTGATTTTTAAATTTTTTGTAATCTCTTTCACTTCATTTTTTCTGTTTCCTCTTTCTGTAGCTTCTCCTAATTCAACATTAGACTCTATGATTTGATTTTCTACCTTTGTCTTTTCTTTCCTTTTCTTTACTCTCTCTTGTGTTGGAACCAATGGACTTGGGTGTGCTAGAAAATAACCTGCTGGTCTTGGGCCTGTGGTCTGCCTAGAAAACCTGTGTCAGGAGTAAAGGGCTTTGCACTGTCCAGTCAACTCAGTGGCTGTCAGTCGAGAGTCTGTTTCGGATGCCAAGGAGAGGTCCCTGGCTGGAACAAATTTGTACTCAGCATGCCTTCTGGGTCCCCTTGCAGTCAAGGGTGTACACAGGTGAGCCAGCTGCCATGGGCTAGCACACAACCTTCGATCTTAAAGTAGCACAGAGGCCACTGTCCCACGGGGCCAATTGGCTTGATCTCATTAGAACCATGACCCGCCAAACAGACCTGTAATCCCTTGGCTGTGAGTCCCCAAAGGGTCCACAGAGCGTTGCCAGGCCCAGAAGTGTTGCTTTCCCATCTCTAGGACGGACCCTCATGTTTTCTAGCAACTTGGGCCAATAGTACTGAGCCTTGTCGGTACCCACACCCCTCTCCACCACTTCACAACCATCAGGACTCAAAGGCAGATTCTCTGAAATGAGTCGTTCTTTTTCAGTGTGAATCAGGTGGAACTTGGAGATCCTACTTGTATAGTGTTCCTTTAAGGAGGGGATCTTCTAGGTAGAGTTGAACTAGCAGGAAAGTTGTCATCATAGCAGGAAAGAATACTTTCGTTTCCCATTGGTCAGTCTCCAGGGACTGGCATCACCCTCTACCCTCTACAGTCACAAACATCAGCAAAGCCAACCTTCACGGCCCCCTTCCTTGGGAGAATGAAGACTATTCTATGAACAGAGGCTTGAGAAAAAGCCACAGATAACGCAGCTGAAAGACTGTAAGATAATTCCATGCCAAGAAAGATATGAACCTACCCACTAATGAAGGCTGTGTCTGTGTAAAGTCAAAATGGGATCAATTCGGTTGAATTGGTTTCATGGTAAGTTTAGTGATTTGAATATTTTACCTAGTACTGGTTTGTTTAGAATCAACCTGGGACACTGAGCATGACTGTACCGTTCTCTACCAAATGGTGAGTATGTTCCTTCTCTGCCAGTCTCCACCTTTCTGTAGCGCGCTGTTTACTCTACGGGCATCTCAGAGCTGAGTAGCGAGCAAGGCAGATGTAAGAGTACACGATGCAATGAACCACTTTGCCACCTAAGTCCCCTTCGACTCTTGTTTCTCACGTCCCTCCTTTACCCCTGCATTTTAAAGTGCAAGGCTGGAGCCATCCCCCATCCCAGTGTACGTGTCTTTCTAGTGCTGTCTTTTTGTTCTCTTTGTGGCAGTTGAGTTAGGCCTGAGTCTATTTCAAAGTCACTGGCCGCTGCCGCCCCCCCTGG